TTTAATATATTTAAAAAATTATTTATAATTATTGTTATTATTATTTTATTTAAGTATTATATTATTAACAATCAATTGTTTGAATATCTATTGTATGAATCATGTTCTATTGTATAGCATCTGCAACTAAAAAGCATCCATTCCCAGTCCCTACTACATATGCCACGATCTTTCGTAATTATCTTGACATTAATTCTCCGAGAGGTAGTGATTGCTGATGGAAAAGGATTCTTAGCATCATAGGGAGCACGGCTGAATAATAAATTCACACATTAATATGAAACAAAATCCAATCAATGTTAATAAATGATTTCGTTAAAATCAACGTTAATCAATGAGTTCGTTAAAATCAATGTTAATCGTCAAATATACGATTAGACTTACGTTCCACCATTCAGGGCATGTTCGCTAAGTTCACCATAGAATACAGTATCATTATCGTAATTTTCCAACTCGGTAATCTTGTAAGCGGAAATACGAGTTCTATAAAAATTCATGATAATTATAATATATTAGTTACACGTTAGTAACACAAAAAAATGCAGTAGTCAAATAAATTAAGCATACCCATGATTTTGAGACTCGTTAGGATCAATATTCATGGCGTCACATACAGCTTTCCACATATCTTCTTTCCAGCCAAGGAAATCTTCTTCCAAACTACCATCGTCATCACCTTCACCACGTTCACCAATTTTTGTAGCACCAAACTCTGATAATTTGGCATCAACAAGTCTTCCAACAGCATTAAAGTGCTCATATGTTTTATTTCCCAAAGCAAAAACGACGTATCGAAGACTTGATAATGGTTTATCTTCGATTGGAATTCCTTGAGAAAATTCAGGATTATCCGAATTTAGCAATTCCCAGAATTCGACAGCATCATCGGTAGGTTCACCTTCACCTTAATTATATAAATTCACATATAAAAATATTTAATAAAAGGATTCGGAAATATCAAAAGCATAAACAAGAAAACAATTACCATAAGTTGCCATCAAAAAGAATGCTAAACAATCTTCAGGAAATTCGTCAAGAAGAGTCATGTCACAATCTTCAACGTCGATAGTCATGGTTTTTAAACCAAATCGTTGTAAACCTTCTTTTGCGAGACGAGATGCATAATCTTCAGCGGTACCAGTTTGTGACCCGTAAAAAAGAACAACATTTTTATCCTATATCATAAATCGTTAATCACACAATCAGATTAGAATTTAATAATTCACGATCATTAACCGATCAAATCAACTATCGTAATTTAAATAATAATGACATACTGTATTTCGCATCTTTTTAATAAAATTTTTGTCCTTTTTTATAGGAGGTTTAGATACTGGGATTGGTGGAGGTAAGGCAGGAGATTTTTTGGCTCCAAAAATAGTATCACGGAAAAGATACAAGACAGCAATGAGACCAGCAGAAATAAGAAAGACAAGATCGAAGGTATCGATGATCGGCTCATCTTGTGGATCTAAAAGTACTGGCTCCGACATTTTAAATGACAATCTTAATGTATGTGAGGTGGTATTTGTACAGTAAATCCTTCAACAAATTCTTATATTTACACAATGCGATTAGGGAAAACGAAGTGTCGTAGAACAAGTTGTTTTTCTTTTTTTTTTTTTTTTTTTTTATCGATCACCTTAATTGAAACAGAAAATTTTTGGAAGGTAAACACAATCTTTTAGGAAATGATCCGATAGATAAAAAGGTTGGACAAATCTATTCTTTTCGTTAGAAACAACGAAAAAGGCACATTCTTTTATATTTAAAGTTTCGAAGAAAACCGGTTAAATATCCGAATTGATTTTCTAAAAAAAAAACTATTTTTGTATTATGGCATTATAATGAACCGCGCTTTTATATAATGCCAGAATTTTGGACTGTCAAATTACGTAGCACTTGTTTAGTGTTTTCACATGACAGGAATTGGCTTCATATCTCATGACTACTATTTATAGTTATTAATAAAGAAAATTATCGGCTAGACGGCCGGTTTTTTTTTCAAAATCGGCTAGTTAAAATTGCCCGATATTGAAAATGAACATACATATAAAATACAATAAATCAATTACTATTTTCTAAGTATTTTCATAACGATAACGAAATAAATTCTGGGATAAAAGTAACTTAAATGAATCATATCAGCTGATTTTAATTAGGAAAACTTATCTCTCCAGATTAAGGTGCATCAATTATATATAATTTGATACGTCTAAGGATATCATATGGGCTGCCGTCAATAGAAATAAGGCAAATTAACATTTTAAAAAAATTTAAAGCATTAACTTTCACAGCTCA